CGCCAGAGAAGATGCATTGGTGATCGCATCTGTGATTGGTTCCCCCTGTGAGTGTTTCTAATTGTTTCCTGATGCGAATGCTTATGTCTGTGTCCTTCTGTGACGACATTACTATTATTTGCTTTTGCGTCGATCGTACTTTTCGTGGGAAAATCTTGATGACAACAATCTTCGCTCGTGCAAATCTCTTGACGTTTACTACTATTATTTTTCCTCGGGTTTCTGGAATTTTCCTTGTCTGGAGGTCTCTTGTTGTTTACTTTGTGCGAGATTCCTGTTTGTTTTCCTTTGGATAGTCATGAAATCCCAAAAAGCCGGTTGGAACTTCCAGCGCAACGTAATGAACATGCAAACGAAGGGCATGTGCCGGAGAAGCAACCACCATCAATGAACTGTTGACGACATTTGCGATCATGGCAAAAAGCAGACACTCGCTAGAAACAACTCATGTAGCAGACCAACAGAAGCCGCATGGGAAGTGCCAAGCAAATCCAACAACTATCAAGCAACACTTTGCTATGATCAAATACTTCATGTATCAGATCAGCAAATCTGTTGAAACTAGACACGCGCACGTAACACATGAAATAACGGGATGGGAGGTGCACTGCGAATCGACCTGAATCGAAAAAGCCGTTTGGAATGTCCAGAAAGAGTTTCAATCACGCCCAAAGCACTCGATACGTCATGCAAACAATGAGCGAAACCATCCACAAAAACGCGGCGAGGGAGGCGCAAAGGAATCCGAAAATTGAACGGAACAAGCAACACACACACTGAGATGTGCAATCGCAGTTAGAAAGATTTCCAATTGCCTGGTCACCGTCCCTGTAGCTGTCAGAAAAGAAACACCATCCACCAAGGGTGATGCCTCCGATATTGGTTGAAAGTATAAGAAATCCACAGTCGTGAACATATAGATAGATGAAACAAAAAAACGAAACGCTACAAACAAATCCACGCAAAGGGGCACGACACTCTCTCCAAACGAGGACACTACCAGAACCCATCACACAAAATAAACAGTAAGATGCAATAGAGCAAAGACGAGGACACGACCAGAACCCATCACACAAAATCAAAACAACATATGCAATAAAGCACCGTGACAAAATGGAGCCGGCCACATATGCGATCTCCGATGCGTGCCCTCTGGCTCCTTTCGGGGGATCGAATTTGGTGCAGTGACAAGGGCGGTGGCGAAGTATTCGCATTATGTTTCTTCCTGCTTTGTTTTCGCATTTCGATCGTTTTAGTTCGATGTTATCTTTTGGGTTGGGGGTTTATCAAACGTTTTTTTTGTTTCGTTGTGTATTTGCATGTTGATGGTAAATCGTGAGAGGCTTATGTATGTAATGATTGGTTAGTTGATGGATCCAAACGTTTTATCTTGTCAATTGATTTGCCATGACTTGCCTTGGCTCCTGCCACGCGTTTTTTTGGCGCCGGAATGCTACACCAATTTTGCGTTATTGCATGTTGATCGAACTTGTGAGCCTTCTCTGTCTTTTGGGATTTTGATCGCCGCGTGTTGGACTAATTCATGCACTTTTGCTTGTTTTGCTACGTAGTTTTTTTTGAAGATCTCGAGCGCTCGATTCGCTTGAGTCCCATACACAAGGAAGTACGACAAATATCCACAGCAAGTACATACATCGCAAAAACCATCACAAAAGAAAGCAGCACGAATGCACACTAGAAAAGACTGCGATACTTAACGCAGAGGGGAGCAACACGAAATCCATACGAAGGTGAACAGTAACAAACCTTTACACCCTGACAGAATCATACATCCAAGCTTCAAGGAAGCAACACGATGATTCGCACAACGGGGAACAATACGAATCAAGGTCACAAGGACGCACTCATATAATACACACGCATGGAAATGCTTGGAGAAGACACACGGCATGAAACAAACAGATATCGGAACCGCAGAAACAACCAGAAGCATTCACAACAGGAATGATGGTTACTTCAATCCAGAACAAACCACCCTAGACAAGTACACATGCGCCATATACATTCACACTCAAGAGGTAGGCTCACATACATACCGAACATCAAACATCATACACAACACTGAACTGATACTTTAACACTAGCTGCTGCCAGTCTGATTGTACGTCTCTGTCTCCTTCTCTCCTTTTTTTTTTTTCTCTCTCTCTCTCTCTATTTTCCCCTCCCTCCCTCTATCGGTCTTAACATGTGTGTATGTGTAAATATGTGTCGCTTTCTCTCTCTATCACACACGGCTTCTTTCTATGGTATTATCTCTCCCTCACTCTCTCTCTCTCTCTCTCTCTCTCCTCTCGACCCATATTTTTCACAATATTCCCCAATGAGGCTTGCCTATTGGGTTCCTACTTCGTGAAAAAATGCTGCCTCGGGGGCTCACTTTGCCCGTTCCCCCAAGATTCCTCGGGTTCCCCCGGTTTCCCGGGTGCCTCATGCAGAGCAACGCCAAGCAGTACCAAGCCCGGGTTCCCTGGGTGCCAAGCACTGCCGAGCAGTGCGCCCATGCAATAAGAAGCCTTCCCCAAAATTAGGGTCGCGCCCGATTCTTTTTTCGTGCTTCTTTTCTCTTTTCCCCACATTTGCCGATATTGTTGTCATCCTTCTCCGATCCCATTCAAAAAACAATGTACGGTTCCAAGACTGCATGGAGGCTGCCACCCGAGGAGGAGGATAGGAGGGGGGAAGGGAGAGGACGGGGAGGCGTGAGGAACGGTGGGTTGGAAGGGAACCTGCTGGCCACTTCCTTCTCTCACCTTTTTCAGCCTCCTCCTCCTCCTCCTCCTTGTCCGCCTCCTCCTCCTGGGCGGCCTCCTGCTCAGTCTCCTCTTCCCCGTCCTCCTCCTCCCCCTCCTCATCCCTATCTGTCTTCGCTGTAACTCCTTCCCCCTCATCCACCACCTTCTCCACCCTCTTCACCTCCTCCTTCTGCCCCCAAGCTTCGGGCGCCTTAGGGGGGTCGCGCTTGACGACCAGCTTGAGCACCTTACTCTGCAGAAGCTCCTCCATTATCTGGTCCGCATCTTTGCTGATGCCATTCGCCTCGACTATCTTGTCCCCAGGTTGCAGCGCCTGCTTGGGGTTGTCGTCGTTCCACTTCTGGAGGAAGCCGCCGTCCGCCAACTCGTTGATCAACACAACGCCGTCCCCCTTGCCCAGGTCCGCGCCGAGGGGATTCTCGCCCTCCGCGTCCCCCTTGTCGATGACCACCGAGAAGCGGCTCGTATCCTCGAACAGGGCGGGGGTCGAGGGCGCAAGGGGAGGGAACGACCAGGAGGGGGAACGGACACGCAGGGAACAAGGGGAGGATAGGATTCCTCCTCCTCCTCCTCCTTTCTCTGCTCCTCCTCCTCCTCCTCCTCCTCCTCCTCGTCCTCGTCCTCTTCTTCTTCCTCCTCCTCCTCCTCCTCCGTCCTTTTCCTTACAGATAAGTTCTCCCTGTCGCACCCCGGACGGGCGTTTCGCGTGAGACTTCCTCACCATTTATGCCTCTGAAGCATAAATTTGACAACAGTTTCGCAGATGGAGGGAAGGTCGTTTTCAACATGTGACTCTCGCTTTAGCGCGGCGCGCATTCGTTTAAAAACTTTTAAGAGTTTCACGGATTGAGGGCGGTTCCTCTTCAAAATGTGGCTCTCGCCTTAGCGCCTCGCACACTCGTCGTAAACATTTGCACGATTTTCACGGATTGAGGGCGAGTGGTTTTCACAATGTGGCTCTCGCCTTAGCGCGGCGCACATGCGTTTTAAACATTTGCAAGGGCTTCACGGATTGAGGGCGAGTGGTTTGCAAAATGTGGCTCTCGCCTTAGCGCGGCGCACTCAGTTTTAATGATGCCAGAGAAAAGCCCCAATCATAATCTATTTAGGGCTGTAGGGCTATAGGGCTACAGGGCTATATGGGCTCTTGGGCGCTATATGGGCTATATGGCTATATGGCTATGTGGGTTATTTATAGGGCTATAGGGATATAATAGGGCTATAAGGTTATAGACCTACAGGGCACCGGGCACCCGGGCACCCACCTGGGCACTAGGCACCCGTCACCCGGGCACCCGGGCACCCGGGCATCCGGACACCCGGGCCCGGCCACCGAATCGGCGGCGAACCCGGGCACCCGGGCACCCGAGCACCCGGGCACCCAGGCCCGGCCACCGAATCGGCGGCACACCTCACCTACCCTTAAGTCCGCTAGGACCCCTACAGAGGCAAGCTCTGATTGGGGAAAAACTTACAAGAGTTTCACGGATTGAGGGCGGTTCCTTTTCAAAATGTGGCTCTCGCCTTAGCGCCGCGCGCATTCGTTTTAAACATGTGCAAGAACTTCACGGATTGAGGGCGTTTTTTATTCAAAATGTGGCTCTCGCCTGAGCGCCGCGCACATTCATTGTAAACATTTGCAAGAGTTCCACGGATGCCCATCATCAACGTACCAGAAATGGTGCTTTGGAAAGACTCAGGATTATGCGGGTGCAACAGTTACGTTGATTATCTGTGTTGAAATCCTGGGAGTGGCGTTCTGGTACGATTCAGGATCGTCAAGACGCAACAGTTAGGTTGATCCGTGGCGTTGGACTCCCGAGAACAATGTTTTGGCATGCTTCAGGGTCTTCAAACGGGTGTCTTCCAACGAAGCAATTCCATCAATGGAAATGAGCCATTGTAGGGGCCTATGAAGAGGGAGCTTGGAGGGAGGGTTTACTCCAACATCGTGGGTGACTCTTGGGTTTACACTGGTCCTCCTCCTCCTCCTCCTCTTTCTCCTCCTCCTCCTCCTCCTCCTCCTCCTCCTCCTCCTCCTCCTCCTCCTCCTCCTCCTCCTCCTCCTCCTCCTCCTCCCCCGCCTCCTCCTCCTCCTCCTCCTCCTCCTCCTCACGCTGTTGGCTTCTGAGTTCATCCTGAACGCAGCCATGCCCCCCCCCCCAAGGGGCCGCTGCCAGGGCAGAAGCGAACGCAATGAGTCCCCTCGGGGGCGAGGCAGCGATGTCCCCTTCTTCCTCCTGGGCCTGTCGGCTGGCGCTCTGCAGCGTGTGCTCCTGGGCACGCGACGGCGCAGGTGGCCCGGGCCCGGGTGGCGCCACCAGCCCCTGCCCGCGTTTGCACCCGACGAGCGGCCCGGCTTGCAGCCGTTGCGACCTTTTCGGTCGGACGTGCGTGGCGCCGGGGGGAGGGCCCCATTTTTCGAAAAGAATCTACCCTCTATCTCCCAGTGGCTGGTGCGGACTTGAGGACGCATGTGCGCGGCGCAAGATGCGAGGGCCCCGTGCTGAAAAGGGTCCGCCCTCCACCCTTTCAGGCGTTGGGGATTGCAAGCTTCGGGGTCATGGGTGGCAAGGGGGTCTTCGGCGAAACGCCCCAGGGGAGGACGGAGACCGGGAGGAGGCGAGCTTGGTGCGCTCGAGCCAAACCTAGCACCCTATCCCTCCCACTCATCCCCTCCGATTGCGCTGCCTTCGTGCCACGCGATCGAGCTAGTCGATCGGAACCGACCCGCCCCCATTCTCTGTCCAGCCCCTTCGCCCCCACTTCCCCTGCCCAAGGCGGCACCACGACCGCTGCCGCCCCGGAAAAAAGTAGGGAATCACCACGGAGGAGACCGTGCAGAGGACGCTGGCCCTTGATCGGGCGAGCGCGATCGACGAGCGGCCAATCCTCCTCCTCCTCCTCCTCCTCCTCCTCGTCCTCCTCATCCTCCTCCTCGTCCTCCTCCTCGTCCTCCTCCTCGTCCTCCTCCTCCTCCTCCTCCCTCTTCCCTCCTCCTCCTCCCCTTCCTCCTCCTCCTCCTCCTCCTCCTCCTCCTCCTCCTCCTCCTCCTCCTCCTCCTCCTCCTCCTCCTCCTCCTCCCCCCTCGTTCGCGAGGCCGCCCTCGTGGCACGAGCGCTTCGCGTAAGGCGCGCTCTCTCGAAGCTCGCGCGTGAATTCCACCAGCCCTTTGGGCGTACAGTGGGGGTCCGACCACAAGAAGCCTTCCACAAGAAACCCAACCCTGAGACCCCAGGATGTCCATCGATTTTTGGTGTGGGAGCGTCACGCCTTCCATGGCAAAAGCATCGGAACCCATGAAACCCAGGGCACCCTGGAGGCAAGCAGGGTGTTTCTTGGCATGGGCCTCCACTGTATGTGGTCTAACGATCTCTTTCTTTCCTGTTCCAACGCGCTCCTCCCTTCTGGGAAGGGGTCCCCTCGCCCTCCCCTCGCTGAGATTTCCTTCTGGGGTCGCGCGGTGTCAGAAGGGGGTCTTTTTGCCCAAGATGGCTCCAAGAGGGCACCTGATGCTCCAAGATGGCCTCCAAGATGGCTCGAGATAGCCAGAGATGGTTCACGATAGCTTCCGACGTACCTCCAAGAGGCCCGACGAGGGCCACATGACGGTTCCAAGTGATCTCGGAACCTCATCGAGAACTAACCAGAAGCCAATATGTTTCAAACACCCAATGAGAATCAATGATTATTGCCTTGCCGCCTTTTGGCTTCCGATGGGCTTCTGAGGCCTCAAGATGGCCCCGAGATGGCCTACGAACGCCCCAACAGCCCAAGATCGGCCCAAGAGCGCCCCAAGAGGCGATGTTGATGGCCCCAGGAGGGGGGAGGCAAATCGAGGTACCCCCTCCTTTGATCGACGCCCTTCAAGGTGGCCGCAAACAGCCTTACATAGCCTTACATAGCCTTACACGGCCGCCGAGCGGGTCCCAAGAGAGCCCCAAGAGGGCCCCCAGGCACCCTGACAGAGCCCCAATTGTAAGGACCACGGGGCCTTCCAAACATTCCCCAAGAGGGCCCCCAAGAGGACCCAACGCGAACCCCAAGAGGACCCCTAAGAGTGCTTCAAGATGGCTCAAGGAGTTCTTGTCCTCGTTGTCCTCCTCCTCCTGCCTCCGATGCTCCAAGACGACCTCCAAGATGGCTCAACACGCTCCTCCCCCTCCTCTCCTTGCCCGCTTCGTTTCACAAGATGTGTCTCTACCTACCGTTTCCCGTCAGCCCTCGTGGGCAACATTTCTGGATGGGCTGGTGGGGATACTTCTTTTCCCCATATCCTAAGATGGGGTTCTTGTTATTTCTTGGACGCCGCCGACTCCAGAGAACAATAACACACCCAGAACAGAGACTTACTCATGCACAGACTTACTCATACTCAGACTTACCCATACCCAGACGTACTCATACACAGACTGACTCATACCCAGACTTACTCATACACAGACTTGCTCATACACAGACTTACCCATACCCAGGCTTACTCATACTCATACCTACTCATACTCAGACTTACTCACACCCAGACGTACACATACATACACTTACTCATACACAAACTTACTCATACTCAGAGTTACTCATACCCAGGCGTACTCATACACAGACTTACTCATGCTCAGACGTACACGTACTCTGAATTACTCAACACACGGTAGATCTTGAGGATGTCTCAGGCGGGGCGCTGGCTTCAGCACCCCTAAGGGGAGCCGCCAGGGGGTATATGACGGGCCCGTTCGCGGCAAGTTCGTGGGGATGTCTCAGGCGGTTTGCGTGTTTCGGTGCCCAACGTCGTCTGCGATTACAGCAGAATTGGAGGATGTCTCAGGCCGGGCGCTGGTTTCAGCACTCCTAAGGGGAGCCGCCAGGGGGTATATCACGGGCCCGTTCGCGGCCAATGTGTGGGGATGTCTCAGGCGGTTTGCTTGTTTCGGTGCCCAACATCGTCTGCGATTGCAGCAGATTTGGAAGATGTCACAGTCGGGGCGCTGGTTTCAGCACTCCTAAGGGGAGCCGCAAGGGGTATATCACGGGCCTGTTCGCGGCCAGTTTGTGGGGATGTCTCAGGCGGTTTGCCTGTTTCGGTGCCCAACATCTTCTGCGATTACAGCAGATCTGGAGGATGTGTCAGTCGGGGCGCTGGTTTCAGACTTACTCATACCCAGACGTACATATACACATAAACATGGGACGCGCTCGTAGAGCAAACAACTATCATAGACAAATGCTCACCGTTGCACAATCGTACAACATGACATGCACATATGGCCTTATGTGGCTAAACGCTCGTTTTACATATCCCACTGCCAACTATCCTAACACAGGTACACATTCGAGGAGATCCGAAGCAACCGCGGGCTGAGGAGGGCACGGCCTGGCAACTGAGGAAGAGTGAGGAGGAAGAGGCTCATATTCAATCATATTCAAAGCTCATTCTGACTCGTACTCACTCGCTGGCATGAGGGTTCACTT